CAGCAGGACGGGGGGGGGATTGCCGCAAAACCTTAGTCATTTCTTTCCTTCTCATTACACTTGGAAAAATGTGTAAGTATCTAGAACTCCTCTGGATACATCAGGGATCCACCTCAACTTTCTACTCAAGAATCAACTTATAAAAGAAATATTTACTTTGATTGCTTATGTTATTCAAGGAAACTAACTTACAAGGAACTGGTAAGCTATACAGCTTCTGAAGGCAGCAACTTAGAAAATTACTCATGGTGAAGAAAAATAAAGCAGAGAAGATGGAAGCTTGTCCTTGAATATTGTTTTCTCATGCTAGTCAGAGAAACTTGGGGTAGTTCTTCATGTTTGGGGTTTGACAAATTCTAGTTTCCCCCAAAAATATATCAAAAGGCAGCAGTCCTTTAGTATGAAAATAATTCTTTGTTTTCCTTAGGGTTAAATCTTTCATGGGAACAGACAGTGTTTTCTTAAATATTACAATTTGTTGCTTGTGCCCTTCTTTTTTTGTCTAATATTCTGTCTGCTTAGCACCTGTGGTAGAATCTGAAGTTGACGCTGCCTCTGAAGGGCTCTACAGGGTTTTGGGGGGGATTTGTTTGTTTTCATTTCTGTAGCAGGGCTGCTCTTCAAATTCCTTATTAATGAACTTGCTTGTGACATCATGGACATACTCAGTAAGGTTTTGTCCCAGAGAATGAAAGTGTTATTTTTTGTATGCCTAAAGACTTTTGAGTATTTTTGGCAAAGATTATGATAGGAATAAATTTGTCTGTCCTTATCACACTGTCCTTCTAGGCCAATTGCCCTTTTGAGTAGACATTGTCAAGCAGTTCAGAAGTTCCTCAGATAGTTTGCCTATGGATTTACAAGAAAATTTATCCCAAGTGTTGGTATTCCAGCTGTTTCAGTTTCTGAACATCTATAACCTGTGGTTATTTTTTTCTTCCAGAATGATACTCAAAAGAACATTTTCTGGCCCATTGTAAACTTTAAGAAAAACGTTCTCTCTATTATCTCAAGTGTTTAAATTCTCCATCTTCCTACTTCCAGCTCCAAACTCTCAAATAGTCTTTCTAGTTTTCCTTGTCTTCTGATTCAAAGTCAGTTACTTCTTTGAGATAAAATACTATATCTAGGGAAGTTTGGAAGTACTCTATTAATTATTGTATTAAACTAGTTTAAGCTCAAATTCACTTCCATGGCATTTCTAGATGACTTTTTCACGGAACATATAGATGAAATTTTTTTCTTATAATGTTGGAATTCTTTGGGCTGTGATCAAGTTATTTTCTGAGATCTCATTTCTCTGGACCTTCTACTTGTTTCAGACATTTCTCCTGTAAGCATTAATTCTTGCAACAAGTATTGAGTGTTTCTTCCCTCTTCTCTTTCATATCTATCTAGTTCAGGCTACTAAATGTTTTTCTCTTTTTATAAAAGCGTTTTTTCCCTGATTGAGGAACCAATGCCAATTTTTTTTTCACAATGAGGTTCGTGGGACCAAATTTACAAGTGAGCTGAAACAGAAAGTTAGTGTTTGTGTGTAAAACAAACTGCTGCTGTGAAACAACTGGTGATTTGGGGTTGCCTGTGGTCTCAGACTACTAATTCTTCTATTGAACTGTAAATTTAACTTAAGGGGAAGAGAGCTTTTCCAAATTGTAGTTTCATCTTCATTTGACTGTTACTAGTTACCTAATTGGAATTTCTTCATGGCTATATTTAAGAAGACTCCAACTAGAGAATGTGCAAGGCTTCATCTGTAGGGAGAGTGTGCAAGTGGCACGTTGGGAATGGGAGGGGAGGAAGTAAGAGAAGCTTCTGATTAGTCATTTTCTTTACTGCTTGTTTATACAGCAGAAGAAATCCCATTAGCCTAGATAGTCAAATATCTCATTGTAAGAAAAAAGAATTTTCGAGAGGGCAGTGTTCATGTGCAGAAATATTTTTTCCTGTAGATAGAGTAAAGCACTTTTCTAAGATACATCGCATTTGACTTTTTCTTTGTTTTTGACAGGAAAAAGTGGCCCTGAATGCAAGCACTGTAGGGCTGATCCAGATAAGGAGTGCCGTTTTTGTTCGTGTTATTTGTGTGGTGGAAAACAGGATGCTCACATGCAGCTCCTGTGTGATGAATGTAATATGGCTTATCATATATACTGCCTGAACCCTCCCTTAAGCAAGATACCAGAAGATGAGGACTGGTAAATATACAAGGATGATTTACTTATCTATCTTGCCATTCTATACATGGTATCTTTTTGTTGTGAGCGAGAGTACTAATGATTTTTTTTAAATTCTGCTGTGTTTTTCATCCATCTACTTAATATAAGCCTTATGTTTTCTGTCATGGTAATTCTTTTAAATCATTCACAAAGGACAGTAAGCTTTAATGACCATTATGGAGTTTTGAAACTGGTATGTTCATTTTATTCGTTATGATCATTATGATTTTCTGCGAGATTATCTGATCTAGTTGTGTTTATCAACAGTGGTTGTTCCACAGCCTTTTAATTTTGTTCAAGCAGTGAAGCTTGAACAGTTCTCTTATGCTCACCCTTTCTTTTCACTTCATCCTCTGTCTATGTTGCTGCCCCTGTGCTCAAGTTAACTGGCATTGTTAAATCAAGATAATTGTCTTTTTAAGTGAATCTGCATGGACCTATTAGCAGCCCATTAAATTATCTTGGGCTTTGTACCATTTTTTGTCTTTATTAGCTATCTACAATTTACAGTGTATTTATCACCTGCCTGTGATTTACATGAGATGCTAATCCTTTATAAATGAATAATAAATAGAACTTTATTCTAATAAAGTTTTCCATTACATAGACATCAATAAATGTCTAAGATGTCTGTGGATACATTTTATGGAATCTCTTTGGGATTAAATTTTACTTAAAATCTGTGTAAGTGCTTTGGAAATTTTAACATTCTCTGGAAATAAATAACTTAATCTCCTGTATCATAGTGGATGCCATAGTAGGTTTGTTTATTGGTCAGTGCCTAATGGTCTGCGTATTTTCTAGGACATTGTGTTTCTTTTGAACTCCTTCTGTGTTTATGCCAATGTGTGATTTAGTGATTGAGATGTGAACATTGATAGGTATTTCTCAGTGTGTACATTTGGCCACAAGGATACTGTTGTTGGAAGTTGATCTTTTTTTCATGAAACTTCTGCATTGGAAAGACTTGTATTCACTGATTCTGAAGGAACTGCTGGCTTGAAACACTATCCAAAAATATTTTCAGTACTTACTAGAAATATACGTGGTCACTGGAACTAAAAATAGCATTTATTTGAATATTATTTGTGTGCCTTCCACTTATTGCATATGCAAAATTATTACAGTCTTTATTCAGCAGTGTTTATTACACAGCATGTTAGTCTGAACTATCCCCAGGTTTTCAACTGTCAAGGCAGACTGGTCTTCTGTGCATTGACATCTTCTTGCTTCCTACTACTTGTCCACATAAATGAGTTGATGTCATGTGTTGGAAACCATTCTCAACTCACAACTGGTTTCTTACTGACTGCAGTCCATAAGCAGTATTCTTACCTGATTACACCTGACCTTTGGATATAGCAGCTGAGAAGTTCTTTTTTGACTTCATTCAATATATTCAGTGAGACCATCTGTCTGGAAGTACACATCTGTTTGATCCATCCATTCTTCAGTTGCCCCTTACCCTCAGAACCAGCTCTAATCCAGTACTCCAGCAACAGTAAAGTCCATCTATTTTCCAGTACTAGTCACAGGAGATTTTCTGATAAAGTAAATATATGTGACCCCCTCCCAGAAAACTCCCAAATCCTTTGCTCTACCCTGAAATTTATTCTCTCTGGTTTCTTCTATGCGCTCAAATACGTAGGTTTGATGGGCAGGTCAAGATACTGATACTGAAATCTCACCAGCCATCAGTGTCTCTTGGGTTTAGCTACTGTGCTAAAATTATCTTGGCCTGCTGGGTGCTTCAAATTATTTTTTAGAATAGATATTAGTGTTTTAGTCTTCACTGGTACCCATTATTTTTCAAAAGCTTCTTGTGAAACATTCTTATGAATTATGCCACTTCTACTTCAGAGAGCTACAGGGAAAATTTGAAGAATAGAAATTTTTGCAAAGTGTAGCCATTACTGCTCTGATCCCCCTACCCTGTTCCAATAATATCACGATAACTGCACTGCATAGTTCCCCAGGACTGTTCACCTCTATACAGAAGATTCAGTGCTCTGTGGACACCACACAAGAATTAAATTGACTAAGAACATAGTTTTTTAGAGTCCCTCAGCTCATATGTTAAGTGCACTTTTAGACCCTTCCACTTACATTTCTAGCCAAAAAATTGTGAATTTCCACAAGTAGTAGAAATTTAATTCATATAATTAAAGTGTCTTGGAAAATGGCTGTTAAGCTTCTTAACTTGTTTTTGTTTGCTGTGTAACAAAAGGAATCTTAAAGATTTATTCATGTAAGTAGATAGCTGCACCTGTGGATGAAGTCACTGGGTGGGAGTGGTACTGTTACAGAGCTGGCTTCTGACAGTTAATTTTGGGATACTTTAGTGATGCCAGCCCTGTGCAGTCTTAATGCTTGATCATATGTAGAAGGCGTGTAGTTACACTGGGCAAAGCAGTGTCTCCTACCAAAGAGGAGGTCCATGTTCTTCCTTCTTGCATGCTAGCAAAGAGTCATGGCTGTCTGATCCTTAACTTCTTGACAGATTTTATTTCTTTTAGAAGTGGAAAAAATTCCGTTCAGTATTTTTATAGTGTAAAATTTGGCAAACTCTCTACAGGGGCTAAACCTACAGTTAGAGAAAGGATGATAAAAGGATTTCTCTTGCAGAGATTAAGCCACTCCATATGCAAAACAATATTTAATAATCCAGACAAAACTCAGCTTAAAAAATATTAAGGTAATATGGTTACCCTGTTCAAGAAACAAGGAATGTCAAGGTTAATTCACCTTGTGAATTTGCATTATGTCATGTTAATGACCTTTTCTTAATTGGTCATCGCGTACTCTTTTTTAAAACAACTATAATATCATTCAAAGTCTTAATGTTAGACAATTTCAGCACCTTGTATTATTTTTAATTTCTCTTTATCTACATAGTTTCATTGTCTTAATGGTTTAACATTCTTTATTGATATAGTGAAATCTGTTCCTGTGGACATTAATCATTAATTCTTCTATTCATATCCACGTACAAAAGTTAATTAATAAATCCAAAACAGTAGTAGTAGTAGTACTTGTGGTAGTTATCTGAAGTAGGCTAACAATGTTAGTGTAGATCAGGCTTCCTTAACTAGTGCGTATGGGCCAAACGTGGCCCATGGGAGCCAGAAACATGGAGAATTGCCTTTGCATTGGTATTTCTGGAGTGGGATAAAAATGTTATTAGGAGCAGCAAAAGTACCAGTATAATCCTTTCTCTCTCTCTGTAGTCACTGCATACTAGTATCTCCTACTTTCCTACCAGTATGGCTTTGTGTTAGCTGGAATGAGCGTCAGCGCTATTATCCAAGTGGATTCAGTGTTGTGGAGTGAGTGAGTGTATGCGTGTGTGTGTGTCTACAAACATTACATGATACCTTGGCTTTGTTTGACATTCAGCAGTCTGCAGTGAAATTTATTGCACTAGAAGAAAAAATAAGGGTAGAGTGGGCAGGACCTAGAAACAAACCACGAATACTCATTAGCAGCGTACTCTAATCTCAGCTGTCATCTTCTTTACATGATGTAAATGAGACAGAACAGAATGAAGAAAGAATACAGGAGAAATGGGGACCTCTCACATATCATGTGAGAAAGAATAGTTAAATGTTTTGCCTCTAACACTCTACCTTCAAAGATATTGAAATGCCCTTTTTTAAAAGTTGACAGTATTTGTTCATGTTGGGTTTATTTTTTAAGCCATAGGCTTCAGCTGCTTAAGACTGGTATATGTTTGCTAGCTTGAAATATTCAGTCAAGATAAACAAATTGACACTATTTTGGCTACAAGAAATGTATTGCCATTATTATGAAGTAATTGAGAATTTACTAAAACCTTTTTTTAGGTATTGTCCTTCCTGCAAAAATGATTCTAATGAAGTTGTAAAGGCTGGAGAAAAGCTCAAACAGAGTAAAAAGAAAGCAAAGATGCCATCTGCCAGTACTGAAAGCCAGAGAGACTGGGGCAAGGTAGAGTGTATTTTAGAAATAGCTGTTACTCTGATTGTTCATGTATGTGCTACATCTATAATTCTACTTATATATGCACTACACAAAATTCAGTACTGGGTTGCACAGACAATAATACGATGTTTAATCCTGCCCACTATCTACTGGCAGTTAAAGCAGTGGAAGAATTAAGGTGACTAGAGGTAAAAACAAAACAAAACCCTGATCCCTCCCCCAAACCCATAAACACATATTACATAATTAACGTTCCTTTTAACAATTGTTAACATATTTAAAAGTGTGTATTTGTTATAGTGATCTGATTTCTTGATTTGTGCATTGAATTTGCAAATAGTCTTCAATATCTTAATACTAATTCATTTTGTCTGATATATTTTTAGGGCATGGCCTGTGTTGGTCGCACTAAGGAATGCACTATTGTTCCTTCAAATCATTATGGACCTATACCTGGTGTTCCTGTTGGGACAACCTGGAAGTTCAGAGTTCAGGTATTTCAGTATTGTTTCAGTATTGGCTGTAGTTGAAGTAAGAAAGAGTAATAATGAATGGGTTGGCCACTAAAATAAATTTAATTTACAGTTGTCATTTTTACCAGGACTAAATAAAGCAAACACATTATGATTCTAATATTGGAAGTGATACTGATATTAGTTAAGGTTGAAGTATACTGATTTTACAATACAACTTAATAAGAAGTCTGTTGTCATTAGGATAAAGAAATTTCACATGTTAAAATTCTAAGTGGGATACTTAGTGAATAGAGTCAAGTATTTTCTGAAATGTACTTGACATGAACTGATTATTCCACTTAGGAGATGTAGACAGTAGATTTTGAAAACATTAGATAATATCACTGTAAATTGACTCCCTGTTGGGTTTTTTTGGTCATAGTAATGGATGTCCAAATCTTCTTTTAGGCTGATGAACAGCTTAAACCAATGTAAGCCTGTACTGCAACTGAAATTAGCTGTCCATTCAGCCTTTGCTGTTTCTTGCACTGTCTCATTTTCTGTTGCAAATATTTCTTAGGCTTTATGGTAAACTAGATTGGTAAAGAAATTGGCAGAAAAATAATCCCATCTGGGGTAGGAGGAGAGCTAATTTTTTCAGTCCATTTCACATTTTGTTTATATAAGCACAGTGCCAATACTCAGAGGGGCAGGAAAAAACGAAGCAGGGAGGATGGGACAGCTTAATTTTGTGCTAGTACTGCTTTTTTGTGGCTTTGAAGTGTCCAGCAAACTGTAAATGTGCTTCCTTTTCCCCCAGCCTTATCTGATAGCACTGATTTTTGGTTTATCTTTGGTTTTTTTAATTGTTATTTTTAGTCAAGGAAATACATACCTCTTTATGAAATCAGTTATTTCTTTGTCTCTTGCATGTGTAAAGGATTGTAATTGAATGTTGTCCATCATATTTGGAAGAATAGAAACAGGATTTTTTTAACTGCTTGAGGAAGGGTTAGCCAAGAATCAAAAGCCTCTTCTGATTTGTTTTCTGAACTTTTCATCACCTCCTTTCTCATGAGTGGAAAACAGATGTTTTATTATTCAATTGGTAGCAGAGAACATTTAGCAGGCAATTTTCCTCTGGTGGTGGTGTCTTCCTGTACTGTGTGAAGAATTCTGAATTTGGAAGGCCATGCAAGTTTTAAGGCTGATATGGTTAGCAGCAGACATTTTCCCCTTAGCAACAGTTTTCCGTTTCTTTCCTTTGTAGAAATCACAGTGAAGCAGTTGAAACCTAAACCAGTGCTGAAACCTAAACTAGCTCTTTTGATCCTTTCTCAAATTGGTGTCCATCATCATCGCTACCATCAATACAAGCCTTAGATGAAGCAAATTCGATTTGTAATGTAAACTTACCCTGTTCATCATACCATACTATTTTATACAAAATGACTTGCTTAAGAGGAAAATTCAGTTTTCGTTCTTTGGGATATTTTGTTGATCTCTCCTGTGTTTGAAAAACATTTTTGTGAAAGGAATTAAAATAGTTATCTTTTTGTTGGCTTCCAGATTAAGTAAAGTCTCATAAGTAAGAGAAGCTTCTAAAATCAGTTATGCAAACTTAAAATCTCAAAATCAAGCTTTTTGTTCACTGCTTCAACAATAATTGAAATTATTAGTTCACCTCTTTGTTAGGAATTCCATTGGCAACACAAGAGCTAGAAGTTTTCAGATCTTTCCAGTGCTGGTAGAAAAAAAAAACAGAATTAGAGCACTGCTTTTGTTGGAAAATTAATCTGAGAATGCTAATTTTTATATATATGTGTGTGGACTAGATATCAAAAAGCAATTACCATTTCTACATAATTATTTAATTTTGGGTACAAATTAAATACTTCGTCTTTGGTTTTTTTAAAGATTGAAATGTTTTCTACGTAGAAAGTTAAATTATATTTTTGTTTCTCATATGACTAGTCTTTTGTATGAGAAATGAGTTTGTCTCAGCAAATCTGTGAGAATTTAGAGACTGTAGTTTCTTTATTTCTGATTTGCATAGTTTTTTGACACAAACTCTCTTTTCCCTAGAAGGAAATTGACTAAGTATTGCTTCTGGACAGAGCATCTGAAGAGCATCTTTGACATGAGTTACTTACCAGAGTTCATCTTTGGGGTGAAACACCTACTAAACCCCTAAATTTAATTGATAAAACCTGGAAATGAAAGAAGGGAGGGAGGAATGAGTGAAAGACTGTTTGATACAGCAGGAGAGATGAGCACAATTGTGGGCCGTTTTTATTCAGCATGCTCATAAATGGTCTGGAAAAATGGGCAAATAGCTGATAAAGTTAGGTGAGAGTGCTAAGTTGTGGATAGTAAGCACGGAGTAGGGAAGAGTGCTAACTATATAGTTTATAATGGGCTTTCAGCAGCTACTTATTTAGGAAAGAAATCTTCTAATAGCTAGTTTTGAAAGTACGTCATCTTAATACCTAAAAGTGATCAAAAAATAAATGAAGTGTTAAACTATTGTGAAAGGAAAGGTCAGGAAAATAAAATATATTATTATGAACCAGAACCAGGATGATTAAAGGCATGGAGTGAGTTTCATTCAACTGGAAAGACTTTTCATTCTGGAAGAATGTTGAAAATGTGGTGTTGTATAAATGGCTACAAAATTATGCGCAGTATGAAAAAAGGGATTAGGGACCAATATACATGCTTTTGTAATGCAGAAAGGGTTCATCAAAAAAAAAAAGTTCAGCTGCCCACTTCAAAATGAACAATAGTAGTACTAGTTCATATGACAAACGGTACTACTGTCAACTGTCTTCTGTCTTGGTATTATGAATCCAAAAGTTTTATGAATCCAAAAGTAGTTTAGGAAGTCTGAGCCACAGACAGCTGAATGGATGCTGAGACATGGTGCAAGGAAGTATTATGTCCATGCATAGTTTACATACTGTGCACAGCTCTTGTCTGTTGTTAGAGACAGCATTTTTGGCCAGCTGGAACTTTGTTCTGATGTATTATGAAAGTGTAAGACTGTAGCAGAAGAATGTAAACTTTCATGGAAAAGGAGTTCAGGTTGAGAAAAGGAATTCAGGAGTGGGAGAGGCAGAATGAGAAAAAAAGTCAAGGTCTGAAGGAAGATTTGAAGGTAGGATCCTAATTGATTTTCTGCTGGGAACCTTCATGCTATCAATAGTACTTCTGGCATCACATACTGAGAAAATAGATAATTTAATGTATTTTTATTCATAAAAGTTTGTGGTTTTTTTTTTTTTTTTAATATAATTTGGTAGTTCGAAAAAAATTATTAAAAAAATTTTTGTAGGATAGGTGTTCCAGTAGACTTTAATGAAGTTGACAGTTTATGGTACAGCTGCAGCTGTCAGGTGGTCTGGTTGCAGCTTAGTTGTACATTCATTAGACAGTTATCCTGGTTGGAGAACTAGCTTATGATCTATACATTGTTGCAATGGCTTCTTCTGTTTCCTTAGGCAGTGTGATAATATTCCTCTGCATTGGTCACATTTATGGTGTGTTACCTTAATAGTACCTGACAAAATGATCTTTACAGAGGTCACTGTGATCTTCCTTAGTTAAAAATTGTAAAATGCTACCAAACTGGCAGATCTCCATCTGCTTTGGATTGTTCTAAACAACTGTGCAAGTGGAGTATAGCAGTGAGTACAGTCTAAAATACTGCTTATGGAAAGAATTGTGGAGAATTTTCCCAAAGAATAAAGTGTCATCTTCCAGTACCACCGCTGTCCTACCTTGTCCCTCCATTTTTTGGGTATCCCTACTTCTGGCTTTTCTTACTTAAAAACAAGTGGAATTCTCACCTTTAATGGTAGTCTTACATTAACTATTCACACACACACCACTGTACAATATTTTAAGCAGAAAGTCGATGGTTAGAAGTGATTGTAGATGGCTGGTTGTTTGAAAAAAGTGCTAGAAACTGGCTTCTTTCTGTTGCCAGGTGAGTGAAGCAGGTGTTCACAGACCACATGTGGGTGGAATCCATGGACGCAGTAATGATGGAGCTTATTCACTTGTATTAGCTGGAGGATTTGAAGATGAAGTGGTATGTCATTTATGCAAGCAACAGTTTTGCTGTTCTAACGTTATCAATGTTTGTAAAGGTAGAGTTATGTTTGTTGATCTTAAAACTAATGCTTATGCAAATATGACTGTGAAAAAATTAACTACTGTTGATAACAAAGTCAATGGTTCTTAGTATTTTGGGGAGAAATATTTAAGCAAATCTTTCTTAAAGAATGTTTATGCTCATACTTACACTTAAGCAAAATATGTCAATTACAACTGGATTTTATGTTGTTTAGGGTAGTTAAATTTCAGTACACTTTCAGGGTTTGAATTTAGTATTATTTAAAATCTGATAGTGTAATTATATGCAAATAATATGTTTTATGATTTTTATTGCTTTCAAGACAGATAGATGCTTCTTCCTTTGGGTTTGTTGTGTTTCTGGATATGTGATACATTTCTTTTAATGAAGCAAGAATAAAAGGTACATGTTACTTGATTCTATGAAGTTCTGAAGGTTCTTGACGCCTACTGATGAGCACTTACAGAACTTCTTAGGAAAGTCTCAGTATCTTGTATTATGATTCCCAACGGCGCTGGGAAAAAAAGATCTACTTTGATGTTAACATCTAAATACAGCAATGAAATCAATTATGCTGCTAAACAAAACAATAACTGCATCCAACTTTCATCTTATGATGTCAACCAATGTTAATTTATGAATAGATTACTGTGTTCTGCAATTAAATAATGTTTACACAGAGTACATCCCTTCCTGCAGTTCTGCTCCATCAGGTGGAATTTTGAATCATGCAGCAGGTGAAGGATAAAGCAGTAAGCAATCCATGTTTTTAAAACATGCATAGCTGCTAATTGCAAGGAAAAAGGCACTGGAGAAAGAAACAAGCATCTGAAATAGCACCAGAATGTAATATTTTCTTTGACAACAGCACCTACCAGCTGCTGCAGAGTATTGCCTTTGAAGGCAGTACTTTGTCTCCTTTCGAACAAGTAACATGAGGAGGTACTTGGTATTGGGTTACATTACTATGTCCTTAGAGTCAACCCCAGCCCAAGCTCTAGGACCCTTAGGCAGTGGATACTAAGAACAGTGTTGCTCAGTAGTTGTACCTGCTTTGTTGGGATGCTGCAGACTTTTTTTTTTTTTTTTTTGGTGGTGATACTGATGTCCCCTTATTTCTGCTGCTGTAATTATTAAATTCAAAATATTTAATAAACTTAATTGGATCCTTTGCATGTCTTTTCCAGTTCACCTAAGGGATGTTGTTGTGATCATGAGTTTTTGTGGATACCTAAGTAGTGTTATAGTCTAGATGACATATATAATTTTGAAGAGGCATAGTTGGGGAGAAATATTGCAGACGATACCCTAAAAGTTTGTATGAATGTCAGCTTTCTTGCAATTCTCTAAACTAAGAGTACAAGGCAGAACTATTTTTTTTCCAGGTGCATTTTTGGAATTAGCTTTTCTTCAGTTCTTTTTTAATATGCCAGATTTTATTTCCCAATTTACTTCCATTTTTCCTGATTTTTTGGAGAAGGTTGAAATTAAACTCACATAAGAATATCCACAGAAAAATAAAATTCTGTACTTAGAAGTATCCTACGTACAGTATCTCATTCCACAAATGAAACTTTCCAGTTAAAAATTTAGATAAAAACCTCTGCTCACATCTAGTTACTTTATTGTATGAGAACAAGAAGAGAGATGACTCTTACTTGAATTTCAGTGGTATGACGTAGGTACTTGTATGTAAGTTTTTACAAAATTGAGAAATAAATACATTTTTGAAGATGTTTACTGTATGTTTATAAACTTTACGCACTGTTTATGCACAGTGCTGAACATGTGCCATCCTAATGCTCTTATGGCTTTAAATTAACAGTTCGTTATTGGGGTAAAATAATTGCAAAAATATATTGCAGGAAATAGAATTCACTGTCTAGCTTTCAGATCATGCCATTTTTACGCTGTGCCTTTGGAAACTTACAGTGCCGCAGACCCAGACTTGTCCACAACTTTGCTCAGGTTGGGTTGTTCTGTATGTATTGGAGTGGTCTGTAACAAAAAGTTCTGCCAGTACAGGATCTACCCTCAAGGTTGAGAAGGGGTACAGTCATAGTTTACAAAATGAGCATTGGGTGAAATTTTTTTGCACATGAAGCTTAACCTCATTCTTAATTACATGTATATAAAGTGTTTGCATATTAATTTATCTCTTGTAAATATTTAAACTTGAATTTTAGTGACAAGTTACATGGCTTACCTATTTAAGATATAGTATTAGAATAGTTAGCTTTAGAGTCTTGAATATGTTAATATTACTGACCTCCTGGTCTTATTCTTGTTAGTAACAATAATAGGGACATTAGCTGAAGAAATTGAGAAGTCTTTCAGGAATTTAAAATCTAAGAATTATTTCTCAATAGGCTAACATTTAAAAACTAGATATTGGATGTCCACAGTGTTCATGCAATCACAGTGTTCATGACAAAAGTATTTTGAATTGTCTGTTTGTCAAATCAAATAGCTGAAGAAATTTCACTTTTGTGTTGAAAAATTGCCCTTGTATTTTATGTCATTGCTTTTATGTATCAGGGTTAGAACTGCTGTTTATTGTCAAAAGTTTCAAGATCCATGTTTCTGCTGGGTTGCAGTAGTGTTGTAAAGATGGTAAATTGTGTGGTATGCTTAGTTTAATCTGAACAAACATTGTTTCTTCTTTAAATGCTTTTGCATATAGGATTGTATGGGAAATTTCTGAACTGAGATTCAGAATCTCTCGGAGAATAATATCTGCTGTGATCGTTCACATCCTCTTGTAACAGATTCTGAGAGTATAAAAGAGAATAGCATCTCTAATCACTCAAAAGGGACACCAGGCAAATATAGTCATTGCTTAGGTTTGTTGATATTTTATACCAAACCCATTCTGTGTCTGGAACATAGCATTCACAAACCAGTTCATGAAATGGCTTGCTGTCCATTTTAAATGTTCTGCATCTTTGCATTAATCGTTTGTGAGGGTAATCAGTTCCAAGGTGTCAGTACAACTGTTATTCCACTTGTATGAAATAATCCAATTGCAAATAAACAACATTTAGCTCACTGGATTTACGGGAGCCCTGTGAAGAGGATATAGCATTTCAGAACCTCTGCTTAGTGTGCATTGCGCAGTGAAAGCGCTTGATCAGTTCCACCAGTGCCAAGGGTGCAGTGCCAGTACTGTAGTGAACTGCATTCTTAAATGGCTTTAAATCCAAGTGAAGTGGCAATAGGAGCCTCATGTCAGAGTCAGTGTTTTATATCCAAACAGCATTGTGACTAGCAATTTATCTAGGTACGTGTGTATGACCTGCTTCTTTCTTAACCGTTTTGCTGGGTTTATCTGGGTCATCTGAATCCAGTGTGAGCCTTGGTACAAGAGAGATGTGGTATCCTATATAAATTTTCTGAATTATTATGCCATGCTGAATACATTACCAAGGGAACAGTTTCAGATTTTCCCACCTCTGTTTTATAGTACTGAGAATCCAGTATAAGAAGTTCATTACAGCCATTACACAGAGAGTCTCTCTATTGTGGGTCGTATGGATTGAGAATGCAGCTGAAAACCTGATGCTTGACATCAAGAAACTTCCTGTTTTCAAAAGCCATCACATTTCCAAGGTCCAAGTGCCCTACTGTTTTGGGACCTGCTTGGAGCATTAATGTAATGTGAAAAAATTAGAGTTTCTCACTATATGATAGCTACCAAATATCTTTCTTTTCACTCAGCTGTGTTATTTGTCCACTTTTGTTAGCTCCAATAGTAAGGACATACTTGATGTAATTTGTAGGGCAGTAGCTTTAATAGTTACTTCTTACCAGTGTTTCACATTTGCAGGACAGCTCCTGTTCTGCAACAGTCTCCTCTCCGTCTTTTCTATTATTCCATACTATTAGCTATCAGTCCATACAAAATGCTAATTAATACTAAAAAAATACCTTTCTTGCATTATTTTCTGAATTTCATTGTCTCCTCTGTTTTATCTGCCTATTTGTTAGCTTGTTTCATAATGAGGTGTGGAATCTGTGTCTGTACCTCTCGTGTCTGTGCTTTTCCAAAGTTCATTTGCAAGACTGCATATTTGGTTGTTTCTAAAGCATTGAGGAAGCCATTTGACATGATGATAAAGCAGATTAAACAGTAGAAATTAATGTTGCTTAGCAAAGCACCATTTAGCTCTTCTTTTAATATTTCATGCTTTCAAAGAAACATTCTGCAAGGAATAGTGCCTTAGGTTAAGGACATAGGCCTTGGTTTCTGTTTGTGAATGCGTAACATACTGAAAAACTGAAATTCATACATTTCAAGAGACATTAGTCATATTAGTGCAATATATGGAGTATCATCAATCTATTCCCTTCATATAATCTGAGGGATCAGCATAATTATACTAATCTTTGTTGTGTCAAACTATGAGATGCCTGCTGGACTTCATAGATTTTATAAAAATTAATTCTTATGATATTAAGCATTTATTTAAACACAGGAAATAAAAGAAGGTTTGAAAGTAACAAATTCTAGTTATATGTATAGAGATAAATGAATGTCAAGTAGTAGGTGCGTGTCTTTTAGGCAAGATTTTCTTTGCCTTGCTTTAACTAGGATTATAGTAAGCTAATTAAATTACTCATTCAGATTGCAGGTTTTTTTCCCTCAGACAATCAATCAATCAGCAATCTCCAACAGGTAGTCAAAAATAATTGTAATTAAAAAATGTCTCAAAAAACCTGTTGTATCTCCTAAGTAATTTCCCACTACAGAAAAGTGTGTTTGACCTGAAAAGGCTTTCTGTGTGTTGTATCTTTGGTGAACCTGGTTTGAAGTTGGAACTGGTTTGGAACGGAGCAGAAGCTAATGAATCCAGGCTGGGGAACCTGAATTGTTTACATATTGACATTTAGTTTAAAGGTCTGGTAATCCACCATTTTGGCACTGGACACAGAAAGGAATAAGAAAAACCTCAGAAATTGGTGCACATACAGTAGTTTTCTACTACTTTCATTTGGGAGTTATTTTTCAAAACGTTGACCTACTTCCATCACCAGTTAGCCACCTTCTGCTGTTTCCTGCTTTGAAGCTGTCTGCCTTTACTGTTCAGAGATCCAGATTGGCTAACACGAAAATGGTTAAATATTTTCATCGTGGTGGAATATGCCATGATACTGCTAGGTTCTTGCTGTCAAGAGCATTTGCAGGGAAGGCTCAGAAACACCAATTATGATGTATTCAAGCTCTGCACTTAATGCAAGGTGGCTTTTATTGATTTATAAATGAAACAGGTAATTTAGCCCTTCCTTTTTAATTGGCACCTTTTACTACAGTGCTAAACCATGAAATTACCAGAAATAAATCAGATAATTGGGCAGATAGGCCAATTCTGTGAGTTCTTATGTGTACAGACTTGTGAGACTTCAATGGAGATGAATGATGACATGATTCAGTTTCAGGTATCAC